GTGGCAGGCATTACGTTATCATATATATCTTATAATGAAATTTCTGTAAGAGAGTGGTTATTTCAACTTGCCAGGTGATCAGGTTAAGACTTGGAAGAGTTAAACTTCTGTTTGCAGCACTTTTGCTCAGGGTGAGAAACAGGGTTGTCTGCTGCAGAGCCTAAATCAGGGTCCTCTGTTACCTGGAGAGCTGTAAAAGTGCACCACATCCTGAAATGAGGATTTGTGTGCATTGGGGTTTTTGTTTTTGTTTGTTTGTTTATTTGTTTGAGACAGGGTCTCACTATGTAGTTGAGGCTGACCTGGAACTCACTATGTAGCTCAGTCTGGTCTCGAACTCACAGTGATCCTCCTGCCTCAGCCTCCCAAGTGCTGGGATTACAGGTGTGCGCCACCACGCCTGGCTGCATTGGGGGTTTTTTAAGCAGTGTACCTTGGAACAACCCCAAAGAGGGTGGGAGAAGCCAGTTTGCACAAAAGAAATATGTGAGCTGTGATTCCTTTGGAAAGGGGGCCTCACTGTCCCAGCAGAGAGGGGGATCTTGGAAGACTTCCTGTTGTTCCCAGCAGAGGCAAGCCACAGGGCCATTCTACCTTCATACTGGAGGAACTGTGGGAGGCCATTGCTCTGGGGAAGGCAGTTCTTGCTAATGATGGCAATTCCTGAAAAGGGACTCAGCTGAGAGCTGTCTGCAGCCAGTGCTCACAGCCCGACCACCCGTGTCTTGAGGGCTGGATCTTAAGACACCGCACAGCATCACTATTTCTTTCTAAGACCTTGAATGATTGTGAAACAGTTGAGTAGTTGGCACTGCTATTAAGTAGGGACACAGAGAACCCTGTCTACTGCTTTCAGACAACTGATGTGAATAAGTCAGCACAGAGCTGAATGGCCTTGCTTTTCTGCCTAGTGTGTCCCAGTTTACAAAAATATTTCATTGGAGCCACGAAATGACCTACTGAGGTGCTCCCATTACAGGAGAGGATATTGAGGCTCAAACACCAAAGTGTCAAATCTCATGCAGGAAGATCATCTTCACAGCCTCTGCCATCAATTTGGGGGTCATTTGGATCCTGGTGCTTTATGTATTTTCTCCTTGAGTCCAAAATGCCAGGGTGGTCATAAAACTTCAACTTCCCTGCAACTCTGATATCTGATAACCTTTTAGACTCCCCGACAAAGTGCAAACCTAGCACATCTAGTGGTGTTCAGTGTTGAAAAAATACAGAAACCATGCATCATGGCATAGACCTTTGCCTGACAAGTCACCCTTAATAAGGAAGGCTATTAAGTTATGCATTTTAGCATAAAATAAACCCACTAGTCTTGACAACCACTGCATCTTACCCACATGTTGTTTTGGAAACAGATGAAATGTCATAGGAACATATATAATGAGAGTTTTCATGCTCAGCATTTCAAGATAAAGTGTAATAGCCCACTTTCAAGCATTACAAAATGCCAGTTGCGGGCAAGAACATCCTGGCTACTTTTATTTTCCATCCGTATTTTTCCTCAAATCTGAAAACTCTGCACTGAGTTAACACCAGGAGTATTCGGGATACTATGTGATTGTTACTGAGAAAACCACAAACAAGCACAACATTAAGAGAGTCTGTAGATAGATTCAGGACTTATTGGGCCCCCACTCCATAAAGATGGAAAACAAGTATTCCTAAATCATTTGCAAAACTGTAGCTATTTTTTTTTCAGTAGCCAGAATAATTGTCAAGTAATAATTTCATACGGGGAAATTCTACAATGCAGCTTTGTCTTCTGAGTTTGGTCATAGGGTGTGGCTAGTAAACAGTGGTGTTTTTACTCGGCCAAAGTCAAGAAGGCACTTTGATTGTAGTAGCTCTGTGTGCTGGAATGAAAGAATAATTATCAATTTGAAGATTTTATTTTTTAGGATCCTCAAATAAGAGCTGCAGTCTTTCATCAGAAGAGGCTATTTGATTTGTGGGGAAAGGCCGTGATGGGGAGACTGGTCTCTAAGAAGGAGCCATGAGGAACATTCTGGAACCAGATCACCAGTCCTTTCACAGGGAATGGCTTATGAAGGAATTCCATCTGCCAGCATCTCTAGGCCTGGCTGACCTGGAGGCCAAGAGGGGCTTATAGACTTTCCCAAGGCTGGGGGGAGGAGAGTATTGTGAACCAAACTTAGGGAAAATTGGGAGAGGGCAGAAGTTCACAGAAGCTTCTCATTTGCTTTGTAGAGGATATCAGAAACTAAAGACTGGGAATTTCTGCTGTAAGAGTTAGAAAACTTTGGACTCTGTTGATGGTACCTGATTTCCTATGATAAATATTTCATAATGAGTTTAATACATAAGGAGGAATTAGGAATGTGTAGTATTCAGAGGTGGGCCTTTGGAAGATGACTGAATGCTAAGGGCTCTGATCTCACAAATTGATAAATGTCTTTATGGTTTCATAGCCTAACAGTATTTGGAAGAAGCTCTTGTTATAAAATCTAGTGCTCTGTCTGCTTTTCAGGAGGGCATGAGTTAAGCCGTGTCCTTCTCATATACCTCCACTAGGATACATTGTCTTTCTATGGGCCTAAAAGCTACCGGGCCAGCAACCACAGATTCAAACCTCTGAAACTGTAAGCCAAGATAATTCTTTCCTGATTTTAAGTTCTTTACCTCAGGCATTTTGTCACAGCAATGGAAAACTTACTAACATATTTGAGATGTTGGAGTAGGCTGTACCAACACTTTTTCACTGCATTCTTTAAAGTGTAACATTTTCAGTGGCTCTCCAATGTCAACCTGATAATAGCTGGGCATGCTGGCATGCTAATGACAAATTCTGACAAGCTGGGTGCTTATCTTCACATACTATTTCAGCCCAGCTGGATTGTACCCCTTTTATAATGAAGGACAACAGATCTCTTCTCACTCAGTGCGTTTTCCTGTATCGATTCCCCTTTCCTAGAAAGTCATTCCATCACTACTTGTCCAAGTGCAGCCACTTTCCAAAGCATAAAAATACTCCCCTCCTCTGAGGGTATCTTTACACCTCTTTTTACCTACCAAAATACTTGAAAAAATTAAACTAATGGTTTATTAACAGTCACAGGACAACACCTTTTTAAAGTTGTAGATATGTGTAGCTCCACTCTTTGTAAAATTAATTTTGATGGTACACTTAAAGTCTATAATGACATTCATCATTGGATATTTGCACCTTTACAGAATCTATCTTGGTTCTTATTCCCCATTCTCTGCTCTCCCTTCAACCCCTCCATCCCTCCCTATTTGCAAAGAGTTTCTTTCCATTTTTTCATTTTCTTTTATTAATTCCATTCCCTTCTTTACTTTCCCCTCCTCCCATTTCCCCTTCCCTTTTACCCCTTTTCTTCCTATTTCACATTATCTATTATACCTTTTAGTTCTTATTTATACTTTCAGTTTCTCACACTAGAGAAACTATTTGGTATTTACAAATGTGTGTCCTATTTGTTTCACTTAAGAGTATCACCTCAATGTGCATTCATTTAACTATACATGTCTCTAATTTATCATTTTTATGGCTGAGTAGTACTCTACTTTATTTTTTTTAAACCCACATTTTCTTTATCCAGTCTCCAGTTGATGGGCAATCAGGCTGCTTCCAAGTTTTAGCTATTACAAATTGTGTTGCTATGAACATGAGTGCACATATATCACTGTGATATGATTCTTTTAATTCTTTGGGGAAGATACCCAGCTGTAGAATAGCTGGCTCCAATGGAACTTCCAATCCTAGTTCTTTGAGGTATCTCCATACTGATTTCCACAGTGGTTGCTCCAGTCTACACTCCCACCAGCAGCAGAGAATGGTTCCTCTTTCCCCATGGCCCTGCCAGCATTTGTTATTGGCTGATTTGATTATAGCAGCAGTGTGAAGAGACAACCCACAATGTGGGAAAAAATTTTCACCAGGTGTTCCTCAAAGGTCTACTATCTAGAATATATAAAGAACTTAAAAAAATCAGACCACCCAAATTTAAAAACTCAATACAAAAATGAGCATCTGAAATGCGCAGACATTTCTCAGGCAAAGTAGAAATAGCAAATGAACATATGAAAACGTGTTCAACATCACTGGTCATTTGAGAGGTGCAGATGCAAACAATGCTGAGATCCCACCTCACCCCCGAAAAAAAGTGCAGATCTACTCTTGAAGTTACCTATCTCCCCAAGACCAGGCAACCGAGGAAACTCGATCACAATCATCTTGGCATGTGGGTCAGCTGTGTATTGAGGGTCATTTTTCTCATGCTCAAAGGAGGCCTAAATAAACTGCTCCCTCACTACACAGAAGTTCTCTAATGATCAGATGTGTTTCTCTTCCTTTCAGTGTTTCTATGCCCTAAACAGGAAGACAAACTTAGTCCAAGGTACTGAAAGGGCCAAACAATATCCTGTGACAGTTACTTCATTGCCCTCCCCCTTTTTATTTATGTTTCTGGTTTCTAAGCAAGTGCATGTAAACACACAAATAAATGGAAGGAAATAAAATATGTTAATTTCAAGAGAAAGGGTAGGGAGTTCGCAGTAATAACATACTGGCCCCTGCTCAGTGATGCAAATCAAATAAATAGTTCACACTAAGTTGCAATGTTGCTGGAATGAATTACTTCCCGCTTGCCCTTTAAATAGGTTAACAAAAAGCATGTAAAATTTTTAACAGAGTTCCCAGACCTGTCCTATACCTTTATGCGTGGAGGCCCAACAGTGTTTAGTGAGCTGCAAAGAGTACGGATTCTGGTGTTATGAGGATCAGGTTAAAGTCTGGCTGAGTCAGGAGCGCCACACGCATCTCGTGAAAAAACTCCGAGGCCTGTTAGGGCCAATAAGGATGTGCCAAATATCCCGACTCCACCCTGGCTCCACCCCTGCCTTACCCTATCCAATAGTGATCCAATAGCGCCATCGTGGCTCCACCCCCACCTTACCCTATATAAGCCTGTGCATTTGCTGAAAAAAAAAGAGGAAGCATTCCAGAAACCTTTCCGCATTCGGGCCCACTGAACCTTGTTCCCCAGGTGGGCTCGCAGACCGAAACAACTGGCACCTGAACAGGGGACTGGCGTATTCTGGCTAAAGATTGAAGTTTCAGGTAAGGATCCCTCTTATGGGTAATATCATGAATCAGGAAGGGCCAGTACAGGCCTCCTCAGTAAAGGGTCCTCATGCCATAAAGGCACCCGAGGAGTTTCCAGCCCAAACTCAGGCGAGTGTAAGGCTCCCTGAACGCTCTAAAGATGGTGGACAAAAGCCTCTCAAAAAAGATGGGGCAGGCGGGCTGTCTCTTGCGCTTTCTTCTTCCCCAAAGGCGTCAGCCCTGCCCGCCGGGCTCTCACTTCCTGTCGAAGTGCCCCCGCTGAAACCCCCTCGTCCCTGGAATAATGGTCATCTGGAAGAGCCTACCTTTTCCGGTCCAAGATGGTGGCCTCCACCCTGTGTGCCACCACCTTACTTGTCGGATGAGGAGAAACAATCCTTGGATCGGGCCTTAGGGTGGCTTGGGGTCCTCGGCCTTCGGGCCGCCCAGCCTCCTCCAAAGCCCGCAGGTGCAGCTGCAGGGTGCCGGGACCTGCTGAGCGGGGAGGGCAGCCTGGTCGGTGGCTGAAGGTCCTTTTGTCTTCCGGCCTCCTCTCACCCTGCCTCCCACCGCAGATCCCGCCGTCCGGCTGCTCACGGCCCCACCAACCCGGGCGCGTTAGGGTCCAGCGGGCGAGAGGGTTGTGAGTGCGGGGTGGAGGCCAGCGAGATGGGGCTGCGTGGTCCCTGGCATGCGGCTGCGGGGGCTGGCTGCTCCCCGGCCTGTGGCTGCTGCGTGCCCAGGAACGGCCTTCTTGCTGCAGAGCTTTAAATCTCTACTTCGTCCTGGACAAATCCACAAGTACCTAACCCCGCCATTTTCATTACTGTTGATTGGAATTCTACCTTACCCAGGCCCGTATTTACCCTACAGCTACGGAAGGCACCGTATTACCCTTGTATTGATCCTTCTTTGTTTAATCATACAGAAACTTGGAGTTTATATTTTGCTAGAACACCCCCGGCCATTTGGGTCCCTGTTGATCTCCGTATAGAGTGACAAACTTCAGATTCTCTCTTTAATCTTATGCTTCATACCCTCAGTAAGAAAGATTTTAAAATTTCTGCCCTTATTGTTGTCATCGTGTCCACGGTGGCGGGTATTTCTGCCGTAACAACGGCAACAGTCACCTCACAAAATCAAGCGGTGACAACAACCGTGAACCAGCTACTCTGCTAGGTCAAGATGTCTGCGCAGCTGTACTCAATTTACAGATCCAATTAAACTTGGTTTGGGAGGAATTGATACCTAGGAGTTAGATTCTGTAACTTTAAATGATGTGTGGGATACTATTTGTTCAAAAGTTCAGGCTGGATGGAATAATTTGAGTAGTTGGAGACGTGGACTGATACTGGGATCCCCATATATATTGACCTTGTTTCGCATATTGTTACTGTTCTTTATTTTAAAGATCAGACGTGCCAGTAACAAAATCATAAAAATGCGGTCCTTTTGGCTGAGGCTCTGGAGTCAGAGACAAAAGGGGGAACTGAAGATCAGGTTAAAGTATGGCTGAGTCAGGAGCGCCACACCCATCTCTCGTGAGAAAACTCCGAGGCCCATTAGGGCTGGAATAATCCGCCCCTCGGGTGTGTAGAGATCTGACCTTAGATAAGCTGTTCCTCTCAAGAACCTTTAAAGTCCTGACTCCATTCGCCTCAGCCCCTAAAGCATACAACCCCAAAACTAACATGCGGCCAATAAGGATGTGCCAAATATCCCGACTCCACCCTGGCTCCACCCCTGCCCTACCCTATCCAATAGCGATCCAATAGCGCCATCCTGGCTCCACCCCCACCTTACCCTATATAAACCTGTGCATTTGCTGAATAAAGTCAAAGCGTTCCAGAAACCTTCCCGTAGTCTTGTGTGGTGATTCTACCACTTTGCTCTCCCAGTCCGGGCCCCCTGAACCCTGTTCCCCGAGCGGGCTTGCAGATGAAACAACACTGTTAAGAGTAAAGTATCTGAAGAAATAGTATTTCCCCTTGGTGGGTGATATGGTGCAGGGCCTGGAATCTTAACAAGAAGATTGGCTAAAGCCTGCTAAGTAGGGGACCTCACCCCATAGCAATAGTGTAATCAAAGTGAATCTGCATGAGAAAACATGCTTAATGCAAGACTTGCTGAGAGTAAGCTATATTCTGATATTTGCCTAAGCATTTATTGGTAAATTGTTGAGTATTCACGTGTCGGTGTGTCAGGTATACATTCCCCCCAAAGAATACCTGGCAATACTTCATGAAAGAAGTAGCATAGAACCTTCAGTCTTTATTTAATGTCTACAAGAGAGTGGTAGTTATAGTCTCAACAGTGGCATAAGGTGGGTTACGGTTTAGATCTAGAATGCTCCCCCCGCCACCTCATGCATCCAGGTTTGGGGCTGTGTAGATAAATGTACTGCTGGAAGATGGGGCTTCGTCTGGAGAGTAGGTCATTGGAGGTGAGACCTGGGAAGGTGTGTCTCCCTCTCCCACTCTTTTGTGCTCCCCTGAGTCGAGCAGCTTTCCTCTGCCGGTCTTTCCACCATGCCGCACCTGTCAGGAAGCCAGGAATGGACTGAATCCTCCAAAACCATGAGCCAGAATAGACTTCTCCTTTTCAAGTTGTAAGTGTTGATTATTTTGTCCCAACAACAAGAAAGTGATCAAGATAGGGATCTGAGGTAACTGTGTTATTTCTTACTGCACTTCAGAATAAAATGGGAAGCTGTTTTAAAATGCATATTCCATGGCCACATCCCAGAGAGCTTAATATTACTGATCTATAGTAAATATTAATTAACATTTTAAGTAATCAACCCAGGATAATCTAGGTTTCAGCTGCTTTTCAGACTACTCAGTGGTATCAATTGTAACTTTTAAAAGAAAATAACCAATTTCTCTATATAACAGTGGAATACATAATAACAGCACATACAAGGCAAAATCTTGTAGCAAAAGAATAGATACCAATTACTTAAATGTTCTATCCCGGGGAGTGACAATATACTTGTACACACTCTAGATGCAGCTTGTAAAGAATTATATAAACCAGTATTATTTTTATAAGTTGTATTTTTCTATTTATTGCACACTTCTACTGTAAGGACCAGGGTTATTTTAAGAATGTTGATGTGGAAGACAAACCCTATAGTCTGAATCTCTTTAAAATCTTCAAAGTTTATAATCTGAATGTTAAGAAATGCAACTTTCCACTAATTTTATAGATTCAAAATTGCATATGTTTTTGTTGTTCAAGAAGGAAAAGTGGACAAACACACTTTAAATCTCTTTAGCAACCAGAAAGCTTTCGTACAGCCGACTAAATCCTTAGAGAAACTGGTGATGTTACGGCTTGTATCTAGATGTCCCCCAAAGCCTCATGCAGTTGTGGGTGGGGCTTTTCAGAGGTAGCTGGATCTAGAGCATGTGCTGCTGGGATCAAGGGTGTGTGATTATGAAAATAGACCGCTGATTGGTTTGGCATAATTCTGGGAGCAGATCATGGGAAGGTCCTCCCTGGTTGTGAGTGCTACCCTCCGTAAGGGTGAGTAGCCTGAACACAATATAAGGGACAGAAAGAGGGCTGCTGTAGTGGTGTGTTGCTTGTACTTTACTACTTTGTTGCTTCCTGCCTTGCTGCCTCTTGCCTAGCATCAGCTGTTTCTCCTCTGCCGCACCACTCTGTCTTGGAGGCAGCCAAGTACGAAATGAAACCTCTTCCAACTGCAAGCTACAATAAACCTTTCCTCTTTTAAGTTTGGGTGTTGGGCATTTTGTCTTAGCAATGAGGAAAAGTAACTAAGAGATGGTCATTAATATTTTTAATTTTTTATCACCTACTGTTTCATATCATAGTTAAAACATGATAAAAGTAGCCATATTCTAACTTCAGCTATGAGAGAAAATGAAATTCAGAAATATTCAATTATGTGTTGAATTCGTAGAAAATAGCAAAAATGAAAATCAAGGTTTGGATCTGGTAAAGATTCCTTCTCTGTTCTGTGTGAGATTAACTCTTGCTCAGTAAAGAGAAAATATTTTGTGCATATAGTTTCTCTGGAAGTAATGTTTCAGATAATAGGACTATGAAATAATATAAATTAAAAAAAATTAGGGGTAAGTATTAGCCCTCATATTTCCCTGCATTTCACTTTTAGAAATATTGAGATTTCAATTTAGGGTTAACATTTTTCATGTTTAGTCTCTGTCTAAAGGTGATTTTATTTTTCTGGAACATATAATTGAGAGTGCTACATGAGTGGAAAAAGTTGTTTCCATTTTACTTAAATTTTTGGCTCTTTTTCATATTTGCATAACTTGAAGGGTCAACTTTAAAAGCTGAAATGTTCCATGTGTCTACTTTTGCTTAGAAAGAAACCATTGGCCTGCATGTGTGATGGAAAAGCTGAACAGGGCTGACAGTGGAGAAACATGGCCTTTGAGTATAAATAATGTGAAATTTTGTGTTGTAGAATCCTTGACTTGTATACAATTGTAGCTTTTCTCTAAAATTTCTTTGTAGAATCCTTCCTTATAGGATAATTAAATTACCTTTATTTTCCTTTTTCTTGGAAATGTTGACAGTTTTATAAAAAAGTCTTAAAACATTTTCAGTGGTTGATTTGTGGTTTTTAAGCATTCGGTTTTTATACTATCACCTTTTCTTTTTAATTATAGTATTCTCTCTTCAAGTACACCACTTCATAGTTTTCTTCCTTTTTCTGAAGTTTCACATACCGTATTAACAAAACTGTAAACTGCTTCCTGTGGAGATTCATTTGGAGTATTAATTAGCATATTGAAAATTGAGGGCCAGGGATTTGGCTCAGTGGTTCCACTACCTCACTGCCTGCCGCCCAAGCACAAGTGCCTAAGTTCCATCCCCGGTACCAAAAAAAAAAAAAAAAAGAAAACAATCTGTTAGTTTCCCGTTACTGAAACATTTTCTGTCAGAATGATTTATAAAGAGAAAATGTAAAATTGGACTCACAGTTTTAGAGATTTCAGTCCATGGTCAATGGGCCTGTGAGG